CTGCTGCTGCTGCTGCTGCTGCTGCTGCTGCTGCTGCTGCTGCTGCTGCTGCTGCTGCTGCAGGGTCGTTTCTTTCGTTCGTCTTTTTATGCACTGCCTTTGGGCTGGCGCGAAGGAGCAGCAAAAATGCAGCTTCAGGAGACACTGCAGCTCTTTCTGTCTCCTCAACTCGCCTACGGGCCCTTGGGATTCAACGGATTCGGTATATCAAGTGCTGCTGCTGCTGCTGCTGCTGCTGCTGCTGCTGCTGCTGCTGCTGTTGACCTGCTGGTGCTGAGCTTCTGCTAATAGTGTTGATCATCTGCTGCTGCTGCTGTTGCTCATTTGCTGCTGACCTGCTAGTGCTGCTGCTAGTGCTGCTGCTAGAGCTGCTGCTAGTGCTGCTGCTAGTGCTGCTGCTAATGCTGCTGCTAATGCTGCTGCTAGTGCTGCTGCTAGTGCTGCTGCTAATGCTGCTGCTCGTGCTGCTGCTGCTGATCTGCTACTGTCTCTCCCCTGTCTCTATCTGGTGTCCCCTTCTTTTTGTTTCTGCTTGGTGTTGTTTCAACCCATCAGCGTTTTGCTGCTGTCTTAAGTTGCTGCTGCTGCTGCTGCTGCTGCTGCTATCTCTATTGTTGTGAGGCCTACAGCAGCAGCAGCAACAGCAGCAGCAGCAGCAGCACGGGCGTGTTGTGTCTCTTCAGATAAGCCTGTGGGGCCCTTTGAAGCTTTGCTGCTGCAGCTGAAGCTGGAGGCTGTTGGGCCCTTCTCTGGTTCTGCTGCTGATTGTGCTGCTGCTGTTGCTGCTAGAGATGCTGTTTTCGCTGCTGCAGCAGCAGAAACACAAGCAGCAGCAGCCATGCTGCAACAGCAAACACGAGATGAGCTTTAGGCTTCCGAAGCACCTTCAGTGCAGCAACAGCAGCAAGTTAATCATAACCAGCAGCAACTAATTTGCATACTGCTGCAGTTGCTGCTGCTTGCTGCTGCAGCTTCTTCTGCTGCTGCTTGCTGCTGCTGCTTGCTGCTGCAGCTTCTTCTGCTGCTGCTTGCTGCTGCTGCTTGCTGCAGCAGCAAGCAGCAGCTGTTTGCATGCAATGCAAATAATGCGTACTATGTGGGTCTGTCTCTCTTTATTGTAGTTAATTAATAAAGAGCAGCAAAAGGAGACAGTAAATATTTTTCTTATTTGCTTTTTAATGTCTCTTTTAATTAGGAGATTGATGAAAATAAAATAAATAAAATAAATAAATAAAAATAATAATAAGAATAAAAAGCCTTTAATTATTATTAATTACATCGCTTCTATCTGTCTCCCTTGTCTCTCTTTCTCTCTCTGTCTCTCTTTATTTTCTTTTGTTTGTCTCTGTCTCTGTCTCTGTCTCCTCTCTTTGCTTTTATTTGTTTCTGTCTCTGTTTGTCTTTGTTTCTGTCTCTGTTTGTCTTTGTCTTTGTCTCTTTCTCTCTCTCTTCTGTTTGTCTTTGTCTCTGTCTCTGTTTGTCTTTGTCTTTGTTTCTGTCTCTGTTTGTCTCTGTCTCTGTTTGTCTTTGTCTTTGTCTCTGTCTCTATTTGTCTTCGTCTCTGTCTCTGTTTGTCTTTATCTTTTTGTTTTTATTTGTCTTCATGTCTTTGTCTCTCTCTGTTTAATTTATAAAATTTGTCTGTCTCCTTTTGTTTGATGCTTATCCGTCTTTTGTTTTCGCTGTCTCTTTGTTTATCTCTGTCTTTGCTCTGTTCTTTATTTTTTATTTCTTATTTTTATTATTTTTGTTTGTATTTGGCTCTGCGTTGTGTCTTCATTTTTATGTCTTTGTTGTTTATTTTGTCTGTCTTTATTTTATTTGTTTGTCTTTGTTTTTATTTGTTTGTCTTTGTTTTTATATATTTTTATTTATTTTGTTTATCTCCGTTTTTATTTATTTCTTTACACCAAAGAAATATTATTATTTTATACATAGATATATACATATATATAAATATATATATATATAAATATATATATATATATATATTTATTTATATATTTATAATATATATACATATATTTATATTTATATTTATATTATTGGTTTTA